TATTGTTGAATTTCATTGCTCAGGTGATGAGAAATGGCATCATTCAATGCAGTTAAGATTAGGCTTGGCTTCCGAAAGAGTGGGCTAGGGATCCTCAGCTAAATGAATCCTCTAGTCCTCTCCCACTTCCCACTCATTATGTTGTGGGGTGCAGGTATTGCACAGACTTAACATACCTTTGTGATGGCTGCAGAGCTGCTTTGATGCCACTTTCAGCCAAGGGGAAGGATCTTTCTTCTGCACAACTCTTTAGCACTAAGTGTCTCAACACCTTTCCAGATTGTCCCAGTGAGCCTATTCTCCTTCCATTTCCTGTAGTTTCATATGGGAGTGGGGGAATCTGAACTTGTTACTGCTCTTTATTATAATTTGAAAGAATATTTGCAACAAACATGCTTTAATTTTAATATTTGGACTGCAATAATATTTCCACTCTCAGCCAGTTGAAATATTTCAACTCGTGGAAAGGATCTATCCTGTAATCTAAACACATTGCCATCATAATGTACTTGATTTTGATTTTCTAGCCATCCTGACATGAGCTCAAGACCTGCCTGGTTATCCTTTTTTCTTATCTTTATTTGAATAAAGCCTTTTTCTTTCTTGTTTAGTAGTGGAGAAGGGGGTAGGTTGGAGACATTTCTAGGACCACCATTTACAATCAAACTTTAGCACTTAACTAAAACAAATACAAAATAGTCTAACAGAAGCGGAGGTTGGGGGAGGGAAATGAGCAGACAGGAGCTCAGTTCTTCATTCCAGCAGACTCAACAAGCAGCAGAAGGGAAAGATCTGGGGCTTATTGCCAGAGAAACATTTCTTAGTGTAAACATTTGAAGGCATCTTTAGAATGCCCTTATCATAGGGAGCCCGGAAGCTTTTGTACTCTGGAAGTTTTCAACTCATCACCAGCTTGGCAGGCAACTATGGCAAAAAGACTTTTTATTGTGGATTTTTAGTACACAGAAAACTAAAACCTAGCTGACCAGAAAGACTGGAATTTCAGCTCTCTCTCTCGCCCCCTCATTGGATTTTTTTTTCTCTCTCTCTCTTTCTGCAAGCTCCTTAACTCAGAGATTACTTGGGTCAGTGACTGACTTTCATTATCCCTCTTGTACCAGTATACTCTTGTCTCCAAGCTCCTGAAGGAATATTGCTACCTGTAAGTATTGTCTCTGTGTCCTTCCTCTCCTATTGAATATATTGTATCAATTGAATGAATTTAGAATTTAGTTGTAGAATTTAATGTTTTTACTTAATGTTACAACAAGGCATACAGGCAATATTTACAGTATTCGGTATGAAAGCTACATCCCAATTTAAGATGCAAAAGAGGCACTAAATATTGGACTTACCAGTACCTTTAGATTAGAAGTGAAAGATTCCAAGTGTCATATTATCTTTAAATGATTTTTAACTAATTGATATGTATTTTTAAACTTTCTTTATTCTACCATCAGCACACTAACAAAGGTTTATACTTTTATATTTTGTTACTTCTACCTTAAACTAAAGGGTCTGGCTATATTTTTTAGCAAAGTTTCTTTGAATGTGTTTTTTTTTAGTGAAACACACTAAAAGAGAGAAATGTGGTACCAAAACTTGAATGTGCTTTTAATATTAATAAAAAGGCAAAGTAAAGCCCTTCAGATAGATATATTTACTTTAGCTGGGAGACTCTGAGTTTTTAAAGCATATTTTACAGATATATTTTACCTTGCAGTAGAAATTTTGAGTTAAGTTTTGTTTGCTGTCTTCTCTTGACCTGAATTCTACAGATGTCATTTGTAATATATTTTAAAGAAATGCTTCACTTTTCTCTTCCTACATTGATAAAAAACTAATTCCAAAATTCAGCTTTCTGGTTGTGTCTTGTTTAACTTTTCTCCTCAACATTACACAGAACATTAATAAGCCATGCTGCTGCTGATAATTATAATTATAAACTTTTTGGAATTTATGATCTGGGAAATTCTATTAACTGAGTCAATTAACTGATTCAATGCTACTGGATTGGTACAATGAGCAAAATTCATCTCCAATGCTAATCATGTACAGTACCCAGTATGTGCATATGAAGCACTGGAACTTGACTGTGATCTGCTGCAGCTGTGCTTCAGTAATATAAGAGCTCATGTCTTAAGTCACTTGTCCTCTGTCTTCCATTATGAACCTTCCCTATCATTTTTAAAGGTTTTCACCTAGTACTTAAACACAGAATTAGAGCTTCTGCTCTGAATTCTTCTTCTAATTTGAAGTAAAACCTTGCTTTGATGCTAATTTAGTGTTCTGTGATATGAAAAAGTCACTGTATGAAAAAGTTGGTGGGAGCATGATCTTTCGAGTTTATTTTTCCATGTGGACATTGTAATGCTGTTTAATTGCTCCCCTCCCCTGCCTATGCAAAAACAGTGACCCCTCTCTTAAGGAGAAAATGTAATACAAGTAGCTTAGAAACCAATTACTTTCTTTCAGGGGATGAATTTCTGCCCGGATAAGGGAGATACTCTTTATATTTTAGGAACTTTCCCAGAAAATGAATTTCCCACACTATTATGCCCATTAGCTATGTTTAGTGTATGGAATGACTATATGCTGATGATATACAGAGTTGTGGAGACTTGGTTTGGATTCTAATCCTATATCTGAGACTTTTTCTACTGAGAGGATTTGTGCTCTATGCAGAAATAGACAAGTAATACAGCAAAAACAGGTCCATAGATACATTCATTTAAAAATAAATTAATGCCTCAGTTATGTTGTATTCAGTTTCTGCAAGAATTCAAGTGATCCAGGTTAATAGCAACCATGTTCACGGCAAGTGAATTTCAGCATTCACACCAGAAGTGAGCTCATCCAGTGAAGGAAAAGAAACGTGATCTGACCAATCACATCTGAGCAACACATTTAAAATGGTCATTTAAAATAGTTATGATCAAATGGTCAGTATTAGTTGAATGATGAATAAAACTAGAGGAAATAGTTCTCTGCTTCTAGATAGACTGTGGGCAGAAAGAAAAGATATTGTCCACTGGGAATTATTCACTTTGCTCTATTTAGCATGATTACAAATGATTCTGCAATGGTCTCATTTTGCACAAGGATAACCTTCTCTCATACATATAGCTGTCTGTGGAACCAGTTATTGTACCTAGGTGGTCAGTGCAGATGGCAGCAGCTCCTTCACAATTTGCCACATGAGATACTAAGGAAGATTCATTTGCCTTTTATGCAATTAGGTGAAAAACTTGATTAGGCTGAATCAAATGTTTTATTTTGTCTATAGCTGCCATTATTGTGATGGCTGTAAGCAGCATTTCAAAGGCTCTAAAAGCCAGCTGTGAAGATAAACTGTAGGCATTTTTCCATCTTATTATATATAAAATATTGATACATTGCTAAGGAGTGATGTGTTACACTTTTCATTCCTAAATTACCACATTTACAAGCCTGAATTAACTCTTATGAGAGAGACTATACATGTTAAAAATAATGCACTCACCTTTGTAGGTTAATCAGCAATTGCAATTATTAATAGCAATACCATGCATGTATACAGCATCTTTCATTCAAGAACCTCAGATTGCTTACAAAGAAATGTGTTATTCCTACTCCACTGGTGGGGAAAATTAAGCACAGAACAGTTCAGTTACTTGCTTGAAGATCACACACTAAGGCTGTGTCCAGACTCAGGGGTTTTTTCGAAAAAAGTAGCCTTTTTTCGAAAAAACTTCACCTGCGTCTAGACTGCAGCCGCGTTCTTTCTAAATTAAATCGAAAGAATGCGGCTTTTCTTTCGACGGTGGTAAACCTAATTCCACGAGGAAGAACGCCTTCTTTCGAAAGTGCTCTTTTGAAAGAAGGCGTTCTTGAAAGCAAACAGGCTTTTTAGAAAAAGAGCATCCAGACTCACTGGGTGCTTTCTTTCGAAAAAGAGGCTTGCTTTTTCGAAAGTTCCGCGTGCAGTCTAGATGCTCTCTTTCGAAAGAGGCTCTTTCGAAAGAGGCTTGCAGTCTAGACATAGCCTAAGTCAGTATGAAAGTCCAGAACAGAGCCCAAGTTTCCTCACTTCCTGCTCAAACCACTAGATGACACTGCCTCCCTCTCTTTATGGGATACTCGCTGATGTTAAATTCAAGCATTCAAAAGCTGATCTTTTTTAGAAGGTTTGAAAATTCTCAGTTAAAATTTTCCTCCAACTACTGCCTCCCCGGCTACTTCTCATATGTAGTGATAGGAAGTTCCCTACAACTTCAATTTTAAATGACCTGTCTGCTGTCTGTCTATTATATTGCACTCTTGGGGGGATGAGGGCCACCCATTTATGCACACTCTCGCTCTCCAATGTTGCATTTCCCTTTAGGAGACATTTGGTAGCTCACCTTCCTGCTTTTGTGCATCAAGACATGGTAATGCTGTAAATGGTATTCCAGGCCCCTCAATTTATAAAGCAAAACACATAGCCTGATTGCAAAAAACCCAGAGTGCCTGGTATCCCTCCCTCTTCATATTAATTGCCAGTTTTACACAAAAGAAGAGGGGGTCCATACATGCTTCAGGATTTCATAACTCTTTTAGTATGTTGCAAGGAAATTTCAGTGTATTCTTTAGTTTTAAAACATGGATACCAGCAAAACCACTGGAGAGGATACTCGATTTTATCATCAAAAGTGAAGTATGGTGTACTGCCTGATAATGCAACCTAGAATAAGGTAAAGCGAAAACTCATTTACCTCTTACCAGAGGTAAACAGTAAAATAGCTGGTTATGGAATAGTTGGGGAAATGTTTTAACTGGTCATGTTCAAACTTTCCAAAAAGTTTGATGTGTGATTGACTGAATTCCTCTGTTCTCAAATAGAAGCATAATGTTCAGGGCTCGTGCTCCTATTTGAGGACAGAGGAATTCAGTCAGTGCATAATTCCACAGGGCTCAAAAAAGAGGGAGGGAGGATAACATGGCAAGTAATATTTTACCAGTGACATAAATTCTACCATAAGCTGGAATGTGTAGTTTCCTTCAGACAGCTATCAAGACGATACAGCTATTTATTTGTGCATGGTATTCGTGGTAAGGGACCTATAATTCCTAATAAAAAATATATAATTGTTTAATGGTGTAGGTTACATTCAGCGCAAGGGCTGCCCTCTGCTCTAGGGAGGAGTCTGCCGGCAGCAAAGCCTCCTCCCTACGCTCTATACTGAAGAGCCTGCAGCGCGGGTAAGCATGTAACCACTGAGAATTCTCAGCGGTTACACGGTTATCTTATGACACGATTTTTAACATCCCTAGAAGAGACCCAGTAACATAGATTCAATTTTACCTTCTCAGCTTCTTATGGGTCAGTTGTTTTCTTCTGGGGATAAATGAGAAGAGTCTAGAAGCCTCCTAGGGAATTTTTTTATGTGGAAAATATTTACAATATTAATGCAGTTCAACCCAACAACTAATTTCCAGCTGAAGAGACTGAAATGCATTAAGAACTGATTTTAATTGTTGGTCTCTCTAATTGCAGAATATGAAATGTCCCTTTTAAACAATGCAGTCTCTAGATCTAAGTTTTATAACTCTCAGTATGAACAAATAAATATACCACTTTAAAGAGAAACAATGCGCTAAAAGGAACTGTGTGGAAGACAATGTTTTAAGGAGAGACAGCAATGGACAGCACATGTTGGTTAGTCTCAGTCAGAAACTATGAGCTATTTAACCACAATGCCTTTTCAACAATGCACTGTTAACTGTACTGGGGTACTGTGTGGTTTTTGAAGAGGTCTGCGTTATTGAAATAAAGTTTAAAGGATCCTGTTCCTGATGGAGGAGAGGGGCTCACAAGACCTTTTTAGGACTTGTCTGCACCTGGAGAAGCCTAGAACACCTGGTATGGAGTATGTATTGTTAAATAGCTATTCCATGTTAGAACTCTGTGTGGACACAGTGATGACACTTAAAAATGTTCCAGTTGTTTTAGAAAAACAATATTTGTAATTGGATGTCTTCAGTAATTGCTAGGATAAGGAAATTCCATGAACAATGAAGCAACCTTATAGGTGTTTGTCTCAGGAAAAATGGCAAGGCCCAGAACCCAGCTATTCTGGAAAACACATTGGGTGCGTCTAGACTGGCAAGATTTTGAGCAAAAGCAACTGCTTTGGTGCAAAA